AAAAAAAAAAAAAAAAAAAACCATGATGTATGAAAGGAAAAGTCAATCAACTGGACCTCATCAAAATTAAAAAACTTAAGTTCAGTGTGAAATACCTGTGAAGAGGATGAAAAGAAAAGCTACACACTGGGAGAAAATATTTGCAGGCCACATGCCTGACAAAAACCCTTTGGGCTCTCACAACTCAATGGTAAAGAATAGAAAATCCTATTAGAAAATGGTCAAAAGACACAGACGTTTCACTGAGGAGGATGGAAAGATGCTAAATAAGCACATGAAAAGACGTTCAATGATATTCCAGAATGTAATCTGGAAAACACTGTGGCTGTTTTTTAACCAGCAAGCACACACCATAGGAGCAAGGGCCGGAGCTCTGAGGCATTTGTGCCAGAGAAAGGGAGCTTTCTGTTTCTATCACATGTGTATAATATTCATAGCAGGGTTATGTGCAATAATCCAAAGCTGAAAACAAGTCTCATGTCCTTTAACCACAATAGTGATTAAACTGTGGTACCTCCATACCATGGAACAGCTCTCAGAAACTGTTGATACAAGCCACAACCTGGATGAAACTCTGGAGAATTATGCTGAGCAGGAAGAAAAGCCAATCCCCAAAGTTTCCATATGATATTTTCCATTTAAATAGCATTCTTGAAATAACCAACTATAGAGTTGTAGAACAGATTAGTGGTTGCCAGGGGTTAGTTAGGATGGTGGAGGTGTGGGTGTGACTGATCTTTGTGGTGAGGGACAGTTGATGGTTACATGAATTTACACACATGACAAGGTGGCATACATTGATAAACACACAAATGTGTACATGTAAAACTGGCAAAATCTGACCAGGCTCTGTGGATTGTACCAGTGCAGATGTTCTGGCTGTGGTATTATTGTACCATAATTATGTAAGACGTCACCACTGAGAGAAACTGGGTGAAGGATGCATGTGACCTCCCTATTAATTTGCTTTTACAACTTCCTATGAATGGATAATTATGGCCAATAACTACAGAGGATGGAAGGCCCATGGTCCTTCAGTCAGAGAGCCAGAACTCTTTATGAGCCTCAGGGCCTTGTGCCCTGGTCAAAACAAAACAAGAAGCTCAGGCCCATAGAGAGTCTTGCCGGGAGTCCATAGAGGCAGACAGGCTATAAATGAGGTTTCAGAAACCCAGGGCAGGGCTCACTCAGTGGGACCACCTCCTCTCATGCCTGGGGTCAGGGGAGATGCAGGTATGTACATATATGGGAGGAGCTGGGGGCACTGCACTGGAGTCTGCTGACCTCTGCAGCCTGTGCTGTCAGACAGTGTAAAGCCCTCAGGGCCAGGGTGGGGGCTATATGGCAGGAAGTGCAGGACTGGTGGCTTTAGGGACCAGGGATGGAGACCACAGGAGTGCTGGGCCTGAGAAAGAGCAGTCTCTGTTCAGGGCAGTACACTTGGGGCAAGAAGGCCTAACAGGTGATGGATGGCAGACATGGTCTTGGGCAGGTGTCCTCAAACTACAGCCCATGGGCCACATGCAGCCCGCCTAGGACATTTATCCGGCCCGCAGGGTGTTTTTGTGGACACTGCCTGTCCTGCTTGGCAGCCAATTCAGCCCGGGGCCCGCAGTCCGGCCCTCCAACAGTCTGAGGGACAGTGAACTGGCCCCCTGTTTAAAACTTTAAGGACCCCTGGTCTTGGGGAAGGTTGTTTGAAGGCATAAGGCCTGGAGATGTCACCAGCCAGCTCTCAGCAGCAGAGAGCAGTGTCTTTAGGGCCTCAAGCCAGCCCCATCCAGATCCAGAACAAGTATGGGGGATGGGAGGGAAGGGCTGGGCTGAGCCAGGAGCCCAGCCACGCCATGGAGCGAGGGCTGTCTGTTGGGCCAGGTTTAATAAGCTTTGCTGTCCCACCCTGACAGCTTGCCTTCAGATGTGGTCCCCACACCCCCCCATAACCAGGGTCCCAAGCCCAGGGGAAGCCAAGCAGAAAGCTGGACCTGGCCCCAACCCACAGCAGCCTTCTGGGCCCCTCCCTGCCCCAGGGTTCAGGTCGGGCACTGGTCATCCTGCAGAACCAGCTAGGAGCCCCCCCCCACACACACACACAGGCAGCAGGACTTGGGAGGAAGGACTGGGCATCTGCCCACTTCACACCAGCTCTGTGAAAGCCCCTGAGATGGAATCAGACAGGGGACAAACGCTTCCAGCCCAGTACCCAGCCATGTGTCTTCACACTGGAAAGCTGAGTATCTCTACATCCCCATCAACTTCCCGTCCCACCTGTGACACTGGGCACAGCTATGGTTAGTCCAAGATCACCAACAGGCCCTAGGATTACAGGGAACTGTAAGGCTGTTAACTACAATTGTACTAAGGCCTAAGATTGAAGACCTAAGGCTGTTGACCCGCTGTGTGACCTCAGGAAGAACACCATCCCTCTCTGGGCTGCAGTGTTCCAGGAGCTCCGGGGCTCTGGCTCGGAATTGGAGCAACATGGGCTGGGGGCAGCACACCGCCCCAGGTCGGCCGGTGTCTGTCGCGGAGTGAATCAGCTTCCGGCCCCGCCCCCGGCGGCACGTGACCGCAGGTGGCGGCGGGGTGGGCGGGGCGGCGCTTAGTCACTTGCCGGCTCCCCGCCGCCGCCGCCGCCGCCAGTGCGCCCCGCTCCGCCCGCGCCCGCGGGGTAAGTGCGTCCCGGCCCCCCCCCACCGCGCTTCCGGGTCCCCTGGATACCTCACCGAGCCCCGGGCCACGTCTGGGCTGCCTTCTCGGGGTGCCGACCCCCGGCGCCCCGGGGAGCTTGACACCCCCTTCCCGGAAGCCCTCGGGATGCGGGATGCGGAACGCGGCTGAGAGCGGAGTTCAGCCTCCCGCCTCCCACACTTGGAAACTTCTGGGAAGTTCCCTGCCTGCCCTAGAGTTGCTCAGAAATTGCCGAAGACCTCGGAAATCTTCAGGGATGTGGGTTCCCTGTACCCTCTCCTTACAGGCACACCGGACCCTGGGATGTGGCCCGGGCCCAATCTCCCCGCACTTGGTCCCCCGTTCCAGCCCGGCCCCCCCACTCAGTCTTCCCACCCGCCTAGTCCGTCTTTCCGACTCCCCACCTCCTGTTGCGGCCCCGCCCCGCCCCGCCCCGCCCCGCCTGTTCTCGGCCCGCGCCCGCCTCACCTGCTCTCTCCTTCAGGTTGTCTCCTGGCAGAGGAGCAGAGGAGCGGGCAGGCCCCGGAGCGCGCTGTTGCCCAGCCGACGGGTTAGGATCCTGACTTTGCGGAACTGTTCTGTTACCCACCCACCCCTGGCAGAAGGGCCCGGGCAGGTGGCACAATGGCCTTCTCACAGGTGCAGTGTCTGGACGACAACCACGTAAACTGGCGCTCCAGCGAGTCCAAGCCCGAGTTCTTCTACAGCGAGGGGCAGCGGTTGGCCCTGGAGGCCCTAGTGGCCCGTGGCCGCGACGCCTTCTATGAGGTGCTGAAGCAGGAGAACATCCGAGACTTCCTGTCAGAGCTGGAGCTCAAGCGCATCCTGGAAAGCATTGAAGTGTATGACCCGGGCTCTGAGGACCCTCGGGGCACCGGGCCCTGCCAGGGGCCTGAGGACAACAGGCTTGGGCTTGGCAATGGCGAGGAAGCCAGCGGTGCAGGAGGGGCCCCCACTGAGGCTGAGCCGCTACCCTCCCTGGAGTACTGGCCCCAGAAGTCTGACCGCTCCATCCCGCAGCTGGATCTGGGCTGGCCCGACACCATTGCCTACCGCGGTGTGACCCGGGCCAGTGTCTACATGCAGCCTCCCATTGATGGGCAGGCCCACATCAAAGAGGTGGTGCGCAAGATGATCAGCCAGGCCCAGAAGGTGAGGGAGTGGGCGCAGGAGGCCCTGGACAGGTGGCTGGCCAGCGGGCCTGACCTGGCCCCTTCTAAGTTCACATTCACTCAGAGCCCAACATAGGGGCCTCAACACAGTCCCAGAGGGATCTCTTGAGCTTCCCTGCTTCCTGGGAGGAGCTTTCCTACCCACCTTCATGGGGTTCCTTGGTTTCTTTACAGAGAGCTAGGATGCCTGGGTCCTCTAGCAGGTGACAATGGGCTGCCCCATCTCAAGGACCTTTGTGCTTTGTTAGGGGTGTTTCTGGTCTCCCCAGTCATAGTGAGAAGGTTCCCCAAACGAAGCTGCTTTGATGGGTAGAGCAGGGAGGAATCTCTGGGCCATTCTCACTCACCTTAGGGTGATTCCACCCTGAGAACCAGGAGGCTCTCACGACTTGAGCTGTCAGGTGGGGAGAGCTTTCACTAGGGTTGGGGATATTGGCATGGAGACTGAGGATGAGCCTCAGTCCATCTGAGGTGCACCTGGAGGTCTGAGTTCAAATTTGTCTGTTTTTTGGTTGTGCTGAGCAACTGAGAGTGAGGTACTCACCCTCTCTGAGCCTCTTTGTAAACTTGGCAATGACAGAACCTTTCCAGGCTAGGATGCGTGGATGGCAGTGGTGTGGTCCTCTTTGGACATGGAAAGAGTCCAGCTGAGGGTTGTCTACCTGCTTTGAATTTTGCCTTTGGAAGGGACCCCAAGCCTGTGGACCTCCCCTCTCTGACTCCTGCCAGGCTGTGCAGAGTTCTGGCTGTGGGTGGCCATTCTTGGTTGACATACTAACACATGTTCTAAGAAGGGGTTCTTGCCACTTGGCGGAGACAGTCATGACCATGATCAGGTGCTGTAACCTGCCGAGTGGAAGTACTTTGTCATCTTTTCAAAGCGTGTCCTGACACAGCTGATAAAACCCACCTAGCAAGCTATGTTGAGGATTCTGAAGTCAGGTCTGGCCTTGGGTTGAGGAACAAGGGATTCCTAGTGAGGTCTCACCCCTTCACTGTTCTGGTCCTCGAGCAAGGCAGCTTATTGCACAAAACCAGAATGCTGGGTTTGGGGACCATTCTGGCTGAAAGAGCTTGGGGGAGCATGTGGGCAGAGAAATCAGAAATGGGTCAGGAGCTGAGGAGGTGGCCCTGGCTCAGGTTTCCAGGAAGGTGGAGTCCCTGCCCCACCAAGGGCGGGCAGAGTTAGCTGGTGGTCAGACCCTAGCTTTCAGGCCTACTCCTACCTCACTGGCTCCCACCCCAGCAGCTTTGCAGTTTCAGGTTTCTGGTCTATATAGTGGAGGTGGCAAGGATAAAAGCTGCATCTCTGGCTACTGTGAAGATGGATTATCAGGAGACAGGAATGAGGAAGGAGCTGGAGTGGGAGGAGGGCACCTTCTTAGTTTTCAGGCACAATGACCCACCCCACACCTGCAGTAGGGTTGGAAGGCGCTGCTGGCATTGGTGTCAGGCAGAGGTGACTCTGGTATAGGCCATGGCACACAGTCCACTGGGACCCTATCGCCCAGCCTCCACCCCTATTTTCAAAATGGAGAAACTGAGGACCTGGGTGGTGGGGAGCTTGATTTGCCGTACAGAGTCCCCCCTACTCTGTACTGCTCCTCCCACCAGCAATAGGAAGGAAGCAGACAGGAACAGCCAGAGGGTCTAATCTCAGACACAGGGATGGCCCAGCCCAGTGATGGGCCAGATAATGGCATGTGGGGCCAGGTTGGGTACTCCTGGCTCCCCTCGCTTCCTCACTGCATCTCGTGGCAACAGCTAAAATCCAGACACTCTATGCCAGGCATCTTCAAACTACGGCCCGCAGGCCACATGTGGCCCACCAGGTGTTTTTGCCACCGCTGCCTGTCCTGCTTAGCAGCCAACTTGGCCCGGGGCCTGCAGTCCAGCCCTCCAACGGTCTGAGGGACAGTGAACTGGCCCCCATTTAAAAAGTTTGAGGACCCTGCACTATGCAGTCCCATGGGGCCCCAGAGCTTCATTTGCTTCCCACAAAGTCCCACAAGGTTATTGATGTCACCTGTCTAAAGTGACATATGAAGAAGTCAATAGATCTCAGGCCTGAGCCCGTTCTGTCCATGTGGCACCACCGTGGGTGATTTCCTTCAGCCTCGACAGGTAGGCATTGCCCTCTGTTGCTATACCCCTCGAGATGGGAGACTCACTGCTGAGACACCCCCCAACACACACCAGATGGCACGGATTCCTTCAAGACCCAACAGGAGGGGCCTCAGAGGTGATATAGGCCAAGGCCCTTGTTTTACAGACAAGGACACCGAGGCATAGAGGACAGGGATTTGTTCATGGCCCCATAGCAAAGCCCTTGCTTTCTGGCCCCGAGTGCCTCTCTACCACATTGTTCTGGGACCTGTTGCCACATGGTGCATGTAGGGGTGGACTGTGATAACAATAGCTACTGTTCATTGAGCAGAAGACACTTTATAGTCTCAAGTAGTGCTATCTGCCCCATTTTTCAGATGTAGAAACCAAGGCCTGATTGGTTAGTCCCTGGTCAAGATTACCTAGCTCGTTCTTGGGTGGAGGTGTGGGGTCCAGGCTTGTGCTGCACTCCAACTCTAGGACCATTCCCCTGCCTCTGTGCCCTAAAGGGACAGATAGGCAGGGCCTGGGAGGGGCAGCTGATCTAGCCCCTTGGAATCCTTTGTCTCCCCTGCTCCAGCTGCTCCTCAGGTTGGCAGGGGCTGGACTGGGACACTGATGGATGCTGACGGGGTGCTGCCTGCTGTCTGCCCAGAGCTCTCCCTCCCTTATCTCTCCCTGTGAATCACCTCTTGTCTCCTTGTCCCAGTCTCCTCTTTTCACCTGGTACGAGTATAGGGAGAGCCCGTAGCCTGGGATGGGAATCCTTTTGTCCAAGTTGTCTGGTTGCATACTGTCCCTTACCCACCTGGGGCTTCTGGGCTGGGGCTGCTGGCGCTGAGTCAGTGTGACCTAGCCTGCTACCTCCTCACTCATCTGCCCTGCTGTCAGCACAACAGGTAGACCCTAGGGCAGGGAAGTGACACCACACACACGCACACGCACACAGGGGAGTGGCTGTGTTCCCATCAGGACTACTGCCAGATCTCCACCCGCCCTCCCTTCCCAAAGGCTGGAATGGAGCTAGTGGGCCCAGGAGTAGGAGTCAAGGGTATGGGGGTCAGGTCCCTGCACTGCCTCCACCTGGCTGTGTGACCAGGACAAGTGCTACCTCCTCTCTCAGCCCTGCTCATCACATCTGTAAAATGGGTGTAGGCCTTAAAGAGTGTTAAGAGTCCCTTTATCTCTGCCCTGTGATTCTAGACTCCTGACGGGAGGCAAATGCCCCAGGTCTTGCCCAGACCATAGCAGCTTGTGCCCTCTGAGTTTCTGGCAGCCTCAGGGGGCTCTAACTCTGGGGTAGAGTCACCTGCTTGCTCTTCCCTCAGCCCCCAGAAGCCAGTGATTTATCTGGGGAAAAACCTGCTGTGGGGTTCCAGCTGCATACCAGAGGCTGGGCCTGTAGGATCATGCCTGGAAGGGCCAAGCCCCAGCCTTGCTGGGCTGTAGCCTTAGATCGGGTGAGGCTGGGCCAGGCTCAGGAAAGGGCCAGGGAGGGACTGCCTCAGCCATGTATAAGGGGCTCTTCCAGCAGATTCTGAGCACCCCCTCCAAGATGTGGAGGTCCCTGTACAATCTCTTCACTGGCCCCCACAGTCCAGGGTAAGGTTCTGGGGGCAGGGGGAATCACCTTCCCCATTTTACAGTTGAGGAAATTGAGAGAGGGCGCGGCACAGTGGCCAAGGCCAGCCTCGAAGCCCAGGTCCCCACCCACCGGGCCAGGGCTTGGGAACGGAGACCCAGAGAAGTAAAGCTGAGCCCAGTTTCATAGTGCCTGAATAACCCAACACCTTTACTACCAAGCCCTTGCCTTCACCTAGAGTCCTAGCCCACAGCTTGTTTTCAGGAGAATAAAAGCAGCTTAATGAGGCATTTACTGAACGCCAGCTCCTCGCCAGGTGCTGAGCAGGCTTGTCACCTTCACTGTGTCACCCTCACCACAACACTTTAAAGCTGTGGCCATTGTTGAGATGAGGAAGCTGAGGCTTAGTGGGCCTCAGAGAAGAAGAACTTGCCTAAGGTGGCAGAGCTGGAAACTGGTCAAGCCGGGCCCAGACCCCAGGTCTGAGCACCTCTATTCTCTGGGGAAGCAGTGTAGGCTGGTCCTTCTCAGCCCTACCCCTTGCACCTGGCCCCCGCTTGACTCAGAATAGTAAAAGCATTTTCATGAGGCTCCCTGTCACCCAAGCACAGTGCTCAGTGGGGAGGGCAGTGGTGGAGCAGCAGTCTGACCACACTAGGACTCAGAGGATCAGGGTGAGTCCTAGTTGCCCATCTCTGGGGACTAGGAGGATGGGTGCTTATCACATGCCTCAGTAGACAGCACCAGGATAACCCCCAGCCCGTGAGAGTTCCTGGGGATGGCCCAGTGGGAGTCCTGGGAGCATAGCACTGGCCCAAGCTCACACCCAGGCTCCTGCCTGCCCTGGTAGCTCCTGCCAGGGCCCAGCGCCTGCATTGGTCAGGGTGGGGAGCCATCTGATAACATAATTCCAGGTGTTGGCTCCTGCCTGCCTTCTGTGAAGGCTTCCTATCCTGTAGGGCTCGCATCTCATTGAGTGTTTAGGGGACAGTTGGGAGCAACCCTTCCAGGAAGGAGCTCTGTGAGGAAGGGGCACCCGCCTCTCCCACCATGAGAGTGGGGTCTGCCTCATGCTCACATGAGGGGGGAAATTGAGGTCTTCGGCGTGGCCCGGCCTGGTCTCCCTTGTGCGAGAGGCTCGCCCTGAAGTGGAGGGCCCTGGCCTCCTCTCAGGCCCTGCTTACCTGCCCATTCAGCTGCCCTGCTTAGCTGTGGCTGTATTGAGTGACCTTGGGCCTCTGTTCTTCATCTGGAAATTAGGGACCAGGCACTTGTGTTGAAGCAGTAACAGA